ATTAAGAACTTTAAATTCAATAGTTTGATCGTTTAAATTTGATGTATCACATAAATTATTAAACGGAGTTAAATCTAGGTAAACTTACTCTAGAGTAAATGGATCCTTCCTATATATATATATATAGGCTTTACTACCGGGAACACCAACAAGAGTGTATATATATATATATATATATATATATATATGTTAAATACTCATTAATTAAAATTCTCATTCTTAAAAATAATATTATCTCGGACTTAAAATGATTATAATTTTAGAATTTAAAAAAAAATAACAATTTTATTAGCTTTTAATGTAATGCTATTTCCTTGTTAAAAAAATGTAATATTTTTTCTCTCATTTTTTCTGACATGAATTGCATCAATATGTTTATAAAAATAATGTATTTATTAAAAGAGCTAGACTATTTTAGTAAAATTATATAAAAAGTAATATATTTATTAATTTTTCTTATTTTACATGCAAAATTATTTAAGTAAAATTAATTTTACACCGAAGAGTATAATTTATGTATCTATTATTCTTCTCATATGATTCTCTTTCTATATAAATTAGGATAGTTATCTTCAATGAGAAGTTTTTAAAAAAATATGTTTTTTATGTTGAAACGAGAGAAGTTTTATTTTATTTTATTTTTTTTAATTTATCATTTCTATTTTTTTTTTATTTAGGGACGACCATTCTTTCGTGCATCAGGATTAGACTTGTGGAGTCTAGTCTTTTGCGTCGCAAATATGCCGATTTGTCTTCCCTTCCGTGCATTAATGGGCTTCAATTTTTTTTTACTCCAAAAATACAGTGGTTTTCTGTTTATTTATTTGGAATTGATTCTCATCCTTAAAAATTTTGAAATTTAAATTTAATTACTCAATGATTATTTATGAATTAATTATTGACGATTTAAATTCAATTTTTATCACTTATGTACAGTAAGTGTCATCCTATATTATTTTAGATATTTCAAGAAAAATTAATAAATATTAGATAAAACTTAGATATAAATTTTTAAGTGTAATAGATATTATTTTTTAATTAAAGTTAAAATTTTACTATATTAATATGCACAAATATATATCACATATTATTGATATTTACATTAAATACTATTAAAATAAAATTTTGATTCTAATTGATAAATAATATCAATTATACTTAAAAATTGTATTTAAAATTTTTGTCCATAAATACTATCTTTATTCTTATATACTCCCTCGGTATATATATATATATATATAT